ATCCGCGCATATTAATAATGATTCCAGCACATATTATTCGTGCAATCTAATTTTTATCACATAAAGACTAGAAATACGTTTTAATTTTAAATATATTTTTTTGTTGAACTTCACTAAGAATAAACATTTCGGACATAATGCTCATAAAAATACCAACCTTATTTTTAAACTTCGTGAGTCAATGCGATTACCAGTAAGGCGATCCACGATTTATCAGCATTACATAATCTCTCGCTAATTAACATTCATTCTTAGTCTGTAGAATGATTTGCATGACTATCTTCGATTACGCAAGAATACATGCTATTAGTAATAAAGAAATGCTAATACCTGATTACGTTTACTGTCAAGTTAAAAAATCGTTCTCGCATCTTCTCGACTTTACATGAAATAAATGATGATCGAAACATAGCCCTATAAAAGATGCAATTTTTCTACTGTCTTCCCTTATGCAAAGCCAACGTGGCATTTAACAAACTCATCGAACTTGGTTTCACTTATCTTAAATCTGAATATCCGCAAATCCTCACAATTAAATTTCTAATCTGAATTTCTTTGCATAAATGCGCCCATTCGTCGTTTTGGAGAATATGCCTTTTATGGCTTTAACGGCTACTTTATTTTTTGTCGTTGCAAAGATGACCCCCGAAAATATCCATTTGTGTATAGGATTCATCACCATATGGTTATTCCTGTGGGACGTAAAGCGAAAAAATGCCGATGAAACAAACTCTCGTGAAACCAAGATCAACACTGAACAAATCCGAAATAAATTCCCGTGATGCTAACTATGCAATGGAGACACAGAATATCATTAACGTGATAACTGGGAAATATAACGAAATCGAACAAGTCCTTCAAATCTACCATAATAATTTTGGTAGAGTCGCAACTGAATTCGAATCAATCAATGGATCTATCTCAATGCTTCAAAATTAAATCAATCGATATTATGCCGTTATCCAGGCACAAAGTGTCATTTCTCCCGAAATAATTGAGCCTACCGAGGAAGCAGAACAATCCGATTCGACCCAACGATTATTTTCAGATATAACTTCAGAAATCTGGAACCAATTTAAAATTATTTTCGATAGGATTATGGCAGAAAAAAGCGTGTTCTTTAGATGATATGTGTGTTATTGTGGCTGCCGATATTATTAATCTTGGGGTGGGACAACTTAGTAGAGATACAGTATAATCAAAAAATATTATCATAGAATTAATGATTTAAGAGGTAGTAACAGGTAAAATAGGTGCTTGGATCGATAGTAAAACAGTTACAAGTGAGTAGCGGGAAAGGAACTGCCAATATATGGGTTAGGGCTCGGCAGGCTTAACAAGCAGGCATGATCTTTATGCCTTTCCTCCCTTGAAACATCCTGCTACTCTATTATTTTTGCTTAGCCGGTCAGCCCTTCCTCATATTATTTTACGAAAAATATAATAAAGAGCTTTACCTTGATTTTTTCTTTAATAAAATTTCGCCACGTTTTTATTTTTTTACGTCGGAAAAACTAATCAGGAAAAAGCTGTAGACTAAGAGTCCAGCTTCTGCAAAGCTGTAGACTAAGAGTCCAGCTTGCACTAACGTCACATTGCTGTAATAGCATCCTTGTTAGACTAAGAGTCCCAACAGTTTGCCGAACTAAGAGTTCATGACTGGAGACTAAGAGTCCCAGCTTGCGCTGTTGTTCAGACGTGACGTTAGGTAGATACTATAAGTTGTCAGGCGACAATCCAGTAAATGCAATAAATTGTAAATTATTCGAAACACACCCTTGCGACTTTGGTGTGATGCTTTTCATGTGGATGAAAACACGGGGGAGTGACACCAGGGAAATCAACATTGTGGCTTAGAACCAACTTTTCGCGTAATCCAAGCAATCCGATTATTAAAACTAATTCTTTTTCAAGAATGGCTCATTCAATGGCCACCTTTATGGCTTTTTATCATGCTAACAAGATCGAAGACTGGACGTGTAATAACCTGGTGGAATATTATCGTGATAAAACGGAGAAAAAAGATTGGAAGAAGGTATTAGATTGGATCAAAAAAGATCTCGTTAGGGTAACAAGGTCTGACTCTGAGTTCGACACGATACGTAGAGGAAAAGCACAAGAAATCCTGGACAAATGGAAGGTAACTTATTGGATTTGACTAATTGAGAGCTAGTCTTTTACTCGATATACATACATTTATTACGAAATGTTTCTCGCAAGTATAATAATTTTAAACTTTTTTTTTCAAAGGATTGGACTACATTTTACAATGACATTATAAGAAAGGATTGCGCTCATGTGAATATGCGGGTAGGCTTCTTCTAGTCTGAAAATCTATGGTAAAGGATAAATTAATAATTTTGTCAATTAGGTAAGGACCATAAGTACTATAAGTCAACTAAACAATCTGACTGGAGATTCAACACAAAATTTCGACAATTGTCTTATAACTTCGGGAAAACGAGATAGAGAAGAAACGGAAAGATCCTCGCCTCGATTAAAAAAGGTGAGATCATTGCAATCTATGAAATGCAATATCATGATTTATTTATAAACATTGATTTTCAAATTCCAGAAGGCGTTTTCTAGTGGAAGCTCAGATACTCGGAACTATTTCTCGCAGATTCGTTCTGAGCAGAACGAACAAGATCAACGACCTCGAACCCCCGAACATAGAATTTATTCATCAGGTGCCATGCCATCTTGGAACCGAGAGGTAATTGTATTATCATTATTATTTAATGTGTAAATGTAATTTTTTTCAAATGGCTTTGCGAATTTTATTTATGTACATAAGAACAAAAGTAATAATGGTGAGTCACAAGAACTCTGTGATTCAGATAGTGATCCCATATCAGATCACAAGTTACTTGACGAATTATCTGAGGTAATTAACCTTTGCTTTATTTTGCATAATCAATGTATTAACTTCTATCCAATCTTTAGGAATTAAAGGGTTTGGGCGCCATTGAATTGACAATTCGGGATACTTTGCTCGAGATTCTCCGTCAGAATCAATCAAAGGATTTAAAATCGGGAAAAACACTGATGAACTCGAATTTCTTAAATGGGATAATAGATGTTTCGAATGCCAATTTGAAGAAAATGACTCGATCAATATTAAATAAATTGAACGAAGGACAACAGTGGTTTGATCAGGTTCTCAATAAACAAACATGGGCTTCAACTTCAGAGTTCATCGACTATTGCAATCAGTTCACGGACCACGTATGTAATCGTGTACAATTCCCCACTTTGGTACGCAAGTCCTTTGTCACAGGGCATTTTGATCCCTTTGTTCATGAAGGGCACGACATTGTGCAGGACATTATGAAACACTTGTAAGTATTTTTTGCTTATGAAGTTAATGACATCAATAATACATTAACAATAAAATAGTTCAGTGCGGTTGGAAGCTCCATGCAATATAAGTTCAAAATCGTCGAAACTGGAAAGAACCTACGCGATCGACACGATTATATATGTTATGAATAGAATTTTCCGTATGCATTTCGATGTTCTCGATGAAAACTGGTAAGTACCGATTGTAAGTTCCTACTAATTTGAGTTACAGTATGTCAAGAAAATAATTGAACTTCTTTTTTTTTTTATAAATTTATTAAAATTTATTTATACGCAATAAAAA